ACCTCTCTCACTTTGCTTTGTCTATTTCACTTACCAGCCAAGTCTTTGTCCCAGCCTTTGGCAGGGCCCCAAGCTTTTCTACAAGGCAGGAATTCCCCCAAAAGATAAATATTGGAGACCCAAAAGGAAAAGAATATCTTCTGAGATTCATACCTTTCTCTCACTTTGCTTTGTCTATTTCACTTATCAACCAAGTCTTTGTCCCAGCCTTTGGCAGGGCCACAAGCTTTTCTACAAGGCAGGAATTCCCCAAAAAGATAAATATTGGAGACCCAAAAGGAAAAGAATATCTTCTGAGATTCATACCTTTTCACGTAACTAATTCCTTGGGTCCTGGTGACAGTCCTCTGAGGTGAAGTTGCTGTTTCCACATAAAAGGAAAAAAGCTTCAAGGAGATCCCACAACTACAGGGAGGAGCTGAGATTTGAACCTGGGCTTGTTTTTTTTTTTTTTTTTTTTTTTTTTTTTTTTTTTTTTTTAACCCGGGTTTCTTGACTCATAGTTCAAAATGGGGAAAATAGAGTTCCTGTTGGCAGCATTGGAATATATGCCTCGGTAGGTAGGGTAGAAAATGGTCTTCTCTTTGTTTTACCGTAAATGAGACTATAGGATTGCTAGGAGAGAGAATTTTGGTCTCAACATACCCCCTTTCTAATCTCAACTGAAAGAGTTTTTGTCCAGATGCATTTTGGGACATTTCATTAAGGTTAAGTGGTAAGTGCTTTAGAGGGTAGTTAGAATCCCTTTGCTTTTATTTCGTCATTAGGTCAATATTTGGTCATCAAGGGGCTATCAGGTTCTGTTTGCTTGATTTGAGTTGTTTGGGAAAGTCTTTCAATTCCACTTAGTTTAATTCCTGGAACAATGGTATAACTGGTGTGGTTTAAATATTTAATCTCTCATCACAGTCAACCAGATACAGTCGACAGAAAAGAATATCTAGAAAAGAATATCTTTTCAGTTTATCAAGTGCTTTTGTGAAAAGATTCTCACACCAACTTCATGAGTAATAGGGAATCTAAACATTGGGCACAGTGGCAAGGGGGAGAATGTCTCAAGAAATGAAATGAAGTTTTAATATGTGAATAAACGATGCACAGAGGAGTTAACTGCCCATTTAATTGAATTTTTATGGGAGTCCGATAATGAAACTAAATGCAGACTGAGAAGATGATGCTGTTTGAAGTGATAATTAGGATTTGTGTGTGTTCTGTATGTGTGAATGTGTCCTATATGGTGACTTAGGAAAATAAATGCATAGAAAAACACTTTAAATAAATAGGACTAATTTTCATATGATGAGATTCTAAAAATGTTCTTTAAATTTTTATAGATGTACATCCAAGGAAAATTACTATTTGCCAACTTTATTTTCAATGGTTACAGCACCTCTGCTAAAGACCTTCAGAAGCAAATTGTGAAGACAAGGGGTGATTATCATATGGGATATTTCCTACCCAGTGACTTCAGAATCCGGTAGAGTAACTATGCACGTTCTACCTTATCTTACACTTTTAATTAGTAAATCCCAGACAAGGGCTAATTGGGATATACTTTTGCCTTTATGAGTGATTTTTCTTTAGCTCAAACTTACTTTTGCCTTTATAAGTATTTATCCCTTGCCTCAAATCTTTTCTGGAAGAGGTAGCTTATTTATTTAAAAGTTCAGTTCAAGGAAGACCACTTTCTTATTAACCAGCAAATGTTCCCAAGATTGTTAAGCTAAGCTTAGAAGGAGTCAAACCAATAATTCCTTCAATTACATAGCACAGAGTATGACTTTATGGATGTTAACTTTCTTCATCATTCTATATGTCTTTTCTGTCAGGGAGGTCATCTAAGTTAACAAATATAACACAACTAGAGGCCCAGGGCATGGGTGGGGTCCCCACAATGAGAATGTACCCAATGGCTGACAGACACTCTAAAGCACTGGTTCTCAACCCCCCTTTGGGGGTCGAACGACCCGTTCATAGGGGTCGCCTAAGACCATCGGAAAACACATACATAATTACATATTGTTTTTGTGATTAATCACTATGCTTTAATTATGTTCAATTTGTAACAATGAAAATACATCCTGCATATCAGATATTTACATTACGATTCCTAACAGTAGCAAAATTAGTTATGAAGTAGCAACGAAAATAATCTTATGGTTGGGGGTCACCACAATATGAGGAACTGTATTAAAGGGTCACGGCATTAGGAAGGTTGAGAACCACTGCTCTAAAGGGTGAAAATGTTGCTTTTAAACTTAATTGGCTGCTTTCACTCTGATAAATTATCATGTGAAGCATGTAAGTGACCAAACAAAACTTAGACTAATGAATCTAGGGCTTTCTTAGACAACTGCTGTCTTCTATGGGTATATTAACAAATTCTGAAAAACAGTAATAGAAGAAAAATAGGGACAGAAGGAAGAGACAAAGAATTTCACCTTTGGCTAATTCATGTTGCAAACACCAGAATAAAAATGGTACACACAAAAAAAGATACAAAGAAGTACAGATTTTATTAGGGTCTTCTTAAGCTTAGGAGGAACAAAAATAATACAGACATATACAAACCTACTATTGGGTTCTTATAAGGTATTTTAAAAGAGCTGACAAAAATGAAATAGAATAAAATACATAAATCTATTAAAGAAAGTATTGTGTTAAAAATTATAATCTCAAGTTTTCAGGAAGGGTGAGTAAAGTAGTTCTATATAAAACATAAGTAGTCAAAAAGTAAAAATTAAAATATCTCTGAAAGAATATTCTCAAATTATATTAAAATACCTAACACTCCCGAAGTATATGAAGTGAAGGCCGACTTTAGAAACTTACTGGGTTAACAAGCCTGAACTCTGTAAGATGGTTCATAAACTTCCCATTTGCAGGGCTCATATTTAACAATGTTAAAAGAGAGAGTGCAAAGGTCCCCGCACACGGAGAATACATTGTACAGACACATAAGATGGGTTCACACACTTCTGACTATGTTAAGAAATAAAGTTAAATATGCTCACAGATCAGTGCATTGATACAAGATTACTGATGTTACAACATTTTCGTATTTAGGTGAATACAAAAAGTTATAAATTCTACAAGAATCCATATATAAGGCTCACCTATGTAATTCTACATAGTTCATTAGATAAAGATGAATGAGAAGAATTGAAGTATAAATTAAAAGTGAATTTATAAGACAGAGCATTTAAATCACGTGGATTTAAAAGGAATCAAAATCCAAAGATCATTCCATCCAGTCTGTTTTATCAAAAGAAATATACACAAAGTAACATGTATAGTGTTTTGATTTATGCAAACAGGAAAACACTGTGCAAAAAGGAAAACATGAGAAAGAAGAGTGAAAAAAAAAATATATATATATACACAATTTACCAGGCAAAAAATAATAGAATTCATGGGATGAAGCAACTCTGTATTGAATGTAGTACAGAACTAATGGTAGGGTCGAGTTCTTCAGAATGAGTCAGTCCTATTTTAAAGGATAACCATTGACCCAATTTTTCTGATGTGACTGGGCTTGGACGAATAGTACATTTTTTAGCTTCTTTCTCATGTGGAGTCCTTGATTAGTCAGCAGTTATTTCAAACAGGGTCTAAACCTATAGAAATGCCAGTATTACCCAAAGTATACATTTTCAATGTGTATCATAACCCTTTGGATTTGGGGCCATTTCAATCCTTTTCCAACACCCTGTCCTCCAAATTAAACAAAAACATGTATGTGGCTATAGCAATGTCACAGTTTTGATGTAAGACCATGCAATGAGTCAATGAGGTCAGAATACTTTAAAAATCCAGAGTAGCAGGGAATGAAAAATCAAGGAACATACTATTTGACAAAATACCTTTGTAAAATGTGAGGTATTAGCCTATTTCCACTCTATCACCTTAGTTTGTTTCATCAACAACAGCAGATTCTGCAAAGCAACCTACAATGCATCCCACAAGGGATGGTGTGTCTACAAATGATGCTAAGTTTCTTTCCAGATCTGAACCTCAAAAAGCGAGTTTAAAGCGATGTGGTAGATTCAAAAGAGTAAAAGAAAAAGGCAGTCTCCAAAAATAAGAGTTTAAAATTACTAGCACTGGAGCCAGAGGCAAAGACCAATCCTTTCAGAAACTGTGAACAATTAGTTAAATAAGACTGACATTGAGTAGAAACTCTGAGAAAAACAAAAACAAATAATTAATTTGGGAGAGAATGTCTTTTGGTGGCTAAGTTGCTTAACCTAAAAATAGAGATCCAATCCAATAATAAAAGCTACAAGTACAATTCTCCTCATTGGCAATTATTAACAATATTACATATCACTCTTCCATTGTGACAAATTACTATGTCAATGTCTAGTAATGCTTTATTTTGTTATCCATTCCCATCCCTTTAATTTTAGAATGATTAACCAATCAATTCTTGCTAAAATGTAGGCACACATACAAAAAAGTGAGTCCTGATGGATGTAGGATGTCTCAGAAACCTCGGGTTATCTTCAGTCTTCATACTCTTGATGGTCCAGGAATGATGCGCGAGTTTAGGTTGGTTCTAGGATAGGCCCAGGGGCCTGGTTTGATCTGGGATCCCTGGGACCATACCTAGAACAAACCCAAACAAAACCAAACTCCTTGGGAGTGCTTTCAGCTCAGACGTCTAGGCTTTTCACTCATGTGGACCTTCAGGGCTGTCTGAGGACCACATGCCAACCTTTTAAGAAACAGTTCTGGAGCTTTCTGCATGTTGCCATTTTTAAAGGCTTTACCACTTTTATTATGTGAATCAGAATGTTTCTCCTGTGCCTGAGTGAGCATTACTTAAGTCATAGTATGAATAGAAGGTACTATAGGTTGGTATAATATAAGTGCAGAAAATTCTTTAAGAAATGGAGTTAATTTAAAACTTTCTTGGGAGGAAAAGGATATTATTATAAAAGATTAAACTTACAGTAATATATTTTGAGAAACTTAAGATACAAACATGAGAGGAAATATCTATTTCTACAATAATATTTCATAGAATATACCCACTTTTAAAGTGCAATTAGAAGTACACACAAATTAAACACTGTCCTATTGCAATAACATGTTTGATATGTGCCAAGTGGAATTCAGTAAATGGGAATGAAAGAAACAAATTTAACTGCTGACAGTTAAAATATAGCATTTAAAATACCATTTGCACTTTAATTCATCACACATTTTAGGATAATCATAAAATCAACTCATGCATGCTAAGTTTTTGTATATGTGGATTATGTGGATCTTGTATTCATATCCTTTTTCTTTTTCTTTTTTTTGGTTTAAGCAATTACAATGAGTACAATCACTTTTATACCATAACTATACTTAAGGAGAAATTTTCTCCTTGTACCACCAATCCAAGTTTGGCATCTGACTACCTATTCTGTATAGCAGTCTCAACTCAAGAAACTGTTTAGATTATCTGTTTTTTAATAACTGTTGTGCCATAATTCCCTTCCAATAGCATAAATAATGGAAAGCTGACTATGGGGCACGACCATAAAATAAGCAGACTGTTTTTAACATATGATTACTAAAACACAATCGGCCTGTTGGTAAAACTAAGTTGTTAGATGCTAGAATACCCCCTTCTAGACAGATTTGAATTTTACTTACAAACATTTTAACATGCACATTCATATTTATTTTTCATTCAAGAGAGAAATTATCATGCTTGATTACTTAACACATTAAATAATAATTTAAACATGCAAAATATAGAATGACACTGGGAATTTAGTCATTCAAATATCTGTAAGTATCATTCTAACATTGATAACTTTTGGCAAGATTTTAACATACAATTAATTGTATGAAAATAAAGATATTGTCTTCTGTGATATCAATAATAAAAGTTTTCTTATTTTCCAGGGCTCAACCTACTGCATGTTTTGGAAATGAAGATATACTTCTCTAAAAATAAAAATTAAACAACATTAAAAAAAAACCTCACCAAAGAAATTCTTAACAGCATATGATATCCAGATCAAAGAGAAAGTACTGTAGGAAATGGTCATTTGAATGGACTGGTTTTAATAGGAATAAAAAAATTAGAGGATAAAAATACAGAGAAGGTAAAGTATAAAAACAAAATGGTTCCTTTTGTACAATGAAAGCTCTTCTACTTTGAGAAAAGGTACTGATTGTAACTTCACTTATTTTCAGGATAGAAATGAAATAGGTACTAAAGTAATAGATGTTACAAAATTCATGCACTTAGTATAATCCAGTTTTTTTGGGTCTTTACTGAGTCAATTTACTCTTATTTCCTACATTATTCTAGCAGTCTTAGCCACCTTGTTTTCAAAACCAAGCAGACTAGAAGGGGAACTATGAGGATGGAAAAAGGCACACTTAAGCAAGCAGTAATATAAACTGGAGAAATTAGAACTATTAAAAAACAAAGACAACAAAATGAAGAAAGCACAGCAGAATGGAGCCATTTGGTAAAGGGTATATAGCTCTCAATGCCTAATTAGTTTATCACAGCATAATTAACTACTGTTAATAATGACCATTTTGACATCAAAAAAGATTAAATAAAATGCATTTTATATATTGTTTAAGAGGATAGCAATGCATATTAAGTTTTAAAGACTCCCTTCAACACTTATTTCAAAAAATTTTAATGCTGAATTTAAGCTCTATAGAAAACTGGGGTATAAAGAATGACTCATTCCCCCAAAATTCAGAAACCCACTTCACGGGTAATTCTACTAAATTACCCATGCATGTTTAGTCTCAAACCAATAGTTCTAGAATATAAATCTTGATGAACAGAGTTGAAATCACATTTACAGTGCTGTATGTTTTAAGTCTATACACTGTACTAAGAACAACTAAGAACAAAATGTTTAACATTGTCCTAAAATATACACAACAATTTATGCGAGGATGTTAGTAAAATTTTCTTTCAGAGCTTAATTCATTGATGGAGAATCCTAGAAATATCAATATGTAAAAATGAATTAATACTTCAAATATATGGCAATCACATATACAACCAAATGTTTTTAGCAAGTTTAGTAAAGAACTAAGAGGCAAACAAAAGTATGCTAAGCAGCCAAACAGGTTCCATAAAGTCCATGCACGCCACTGACAGAAAAGCCCCTTAGCCTTCTTTCAGTCTACTTACTCTTACTTTAGACACAATTCTAGCAAGCTTGGCAATCTGGTTTCCCAGTCCACAGCAGATTAGAAGCAGCAAATTAGGGGCTAATGCAGGATGCAGGCACAGAAGACAGGAGCAAAAAGTGACAGCTGATTATACGGGAAAACAGAGAAGCTGTGAAAAACAAACATGACTCAAAAGCATAGCAATACAGGACCACGCAGGAAAGGGGCATTATATGTCTCAGGAGCCTCCTGAGGGCAAGTTTCTGATTATCACTCCATAATTGATGTTCTTAAAGATGACAAAAAAAAGTTAAAATTATAAACTACTCTAGAAAAAGGGAAGTAGAAAGTCCATTGTAGAAAATTTCGCACTGTACTGTTAAAAAAGTTTATTAAATGGATTTGCCTCAGTTACCCAAAAAATTAACTTATACAAGTTAGTTATCATCAATGATTACAGATAAATCAACTGTTACTATACTTAGGATATTTCCCCATATTTTCTCCTCTAAAATATTTATAGCTTTATTTTCTAATATAATGTAAATTGCACAGATATGTTCTTATAAATATAACTGAGAGAATAAATCAACTTTTATGCTTTGTCTAGTTGTCATTCATGGCATGATACCTACTTTAATTCAAATAATGAATTGGCTGAGCTATACCAATCTTATGGTATTTAGTTCCTGTTTCCTTGTTTTGTTTAGGTATAGAAACAATACATGATGATTAATCCAAATCAACTGAGCCCTCCTTCCCACATGATTTCTCAATAATGTATCAAAATATTTCATATTTTACATTAGTGATGGGGTATGAGTAAGTCACCAGAGTGAAATGACCTCCAACATCCCTTAACACTTGATTTATAATTTTGTGAAATGTAGATGAACTTGAATCTTTTTATGCTTTAATATTAAAAGCTTTACCACTTTTATTATGTGAATCAGAATTACTATTGTTTTAAATGAAAACTGAACTTTTAATTTTTGACTTATTTTACAAATATATTTATGACCAGATCTTGTTTTATTTTTAGCCTCAATAGTTTTACTTTTAAATATTTCTGAGAAGTCAGAATCACAAACATCATTTAGCAATATAGAAGATTTTGGTTTTGCTGGAAAAACTTCCTGTGAAGTTATTAAGTTAGCTGTATCCACAGCTTTTAAATGATGGATCTGTGATTTAAACTCAGGCTTATCCTTCTGCATTAAACACTTAAGCCAATATTCTTAAATTTCCTTACTAATTTGCCTTAAATGTGTTTCTTTTGACCTGCTTGTCTCCCATAACTTCAAACTTGAGTCAATGTGCTTTTTCCCAATAAAGTATATTCAGATATTGTAAGTACAATTAGACTTTAAAGAGGACTTAACTTATGAAGTCAGATAATAGAGAAAACTTGTGAATATAAGCAGAGGACCACAAATCAAAGACTAGGAAGAGTCTGGCACTAGACTAGTCAGACCAGATATGTAGTTTTAATGAAAGCTGAAAAGAAAATAATTTAAGATATAATTGTCACCAGATCATTTATTGCCATGATTTTCCTAACTATAGACAAAGCATAAAAATTCTGTCTTCAAGATTGACTTAGTTTTTTTAAAACATTCTTGCATTAAATACTAGGTTTGAAACAAACTATGGAAATGTTCGTATTAAAAGCTGTCAGCCCTGGTAAGGTGTGGCTCAGTTGGTTGAGTGCTGTCCCATCCACCAAAAGGTTGCTAGTTTGATTCCAGGTTGCGGGCTCGATCTCCAGTGGGAGGGTGTGCGGGAAGCATATTGTGGATGTCTCTCTCTCTCTCTCTCTCTCTCTCTCTCTCCCTCCCACCCTCCCTTATTCTCTAAAAATCAATGAAAACATATCGTATTTAAAAATAGAAAAGATAAAAGCTGTCAGGATATTACTCCTAATAAGAATTATCCTGTCAAAATATTATTGTTAAACTTGGAAAGCATAATTACAAATTTTCCCCACAAAATATTTTCCCCACAGGGTTTCTTTTGTATGTGGGTTGGCAGCTATTAAAACTAGTCAAGAGCCTAATAAGACAAAGTGAAATATTCTCAGAAAAGTAACAAACAAGGATATCTACTTATATTACATTGGCGTATTTTACTTCTTCAGGTATTCATTGGAAGGAAGCATAAAAGTCTAACATAGAGGTTCTTAGATTTTTACTGGGCATAAACACCACCTAGGTCTTATTCCAAAATGACTAAGAATAATTGGGAGGATGGCTCTACGTCTGCATTTGAAACATAAGACCTCCAATTTATTCTATTATAGGTGCTCCATGAAAAAATGGAGAAACACTGACTTCTAGATTATTATAAGTTAGGAATTTTCACAGGAAAGATAATATTTTATCTTGAAAATATTTTAAAAGATGAAAGAAAATTTGAAAATTACACACACCAAAAAAACATTAAATTAAAATTTTAAGATCCTTATATCATGATTTCACCAAGCAAAATTTTCACTGAACTAACTAACTAGTGAATAAAACAAATCAGACTGGAAAATTACAAATTCTTTTTTTTAAAAAAATATTGTTATTGATTTCAGAGAGGAAGGGAGAGGGCGAGATAGAAACATCAATGATGACAGAGAATAATTCATTGGCTACCTCCTGCACACCCCCACTGTGGCTTGAGCCCACAACCTAGGCATGTGCCCCTGACTAGAATCAAACCTGGGACCCTTTAGTCTGCAGGTTGACGCTCTATCCAGGGCGAAGGCTACAAATTCTTGGTTAAATTAGCCCTTCACATTTAAAAAGTATCACCTTAGAGAGCATTGAATAAAACTGGTAGAATATTATGAAGATATTTTTTCCCACACTGGTGTAATAAAAAACAAAATATAACAAAATTAAAAAGTATTAATCTCGAATTCTTCCTGTGTAAGGTTATAGATTAAGAGAAAGATTATCAAATTTTTCCTTAGTTATTTCTTCTAAATCCAAGGAAAAAAGGAGTTCACAAACTAATTTAAAAAGAAAGTAAACTTGCCCTGGCTGGGCGGTGTAGTTGGTTGAAGCGTTGTCTCATACACTGAAAGGTTGCAGGTTTGATTCCTGGTCAGGGCACACACCTAGACTAAGGGTTTGATCCCTGGTTGGGCACCTATGGGAGGCAGCCAATGGATATTTATTGCTCTCCCACTCCTCTCTCCGCTCTCTCTAAAATCTATGAAGCATATCCTCAGGCGAGGATTAAAAATAAGGAAAGTAAACTCTAAATGTTATTACTATTTCTGAGTTGTAAACTAGGCCTACTCTTAGGAACTGCTCCTAAGACCTTAATTATGGATGTCCCAGAATTTTTGGCAACTGGCAGAATAATGTATAATACAAAGGATCTCTACCATTCAAGTAAAGCAGAAACAAGTTTTTCCTCAGGATAAAAAATAAATTTCTTTAGATTATTGAAAAAAACCATAAACCCTTTAGTATGAAAATTTACTCTAAGTGCTAAGTTGTAGGAGTCTTCATGTGCTTCTTAACTCTAAAGACAATATAGATTCATCATGTAATTTTCTTTCTAGGGCAGCAGCATAAATTGAATTATCTCTACATTTTCCCCAAATAACATCTACACACTATGTCAGGGCATGGAAGCTATAGGTTTCAAAACACAATATACTCCTGAAAATATCACTCTTTGAAAATGCAATCATGGCCCTGGCAGGGCAGCTCAGTTGGTTAGAGTCACCCCGATAACCAACTTTGTGGATTTGATCTCCTGTCAGAGCACGAACAAGTATCAACCAGTGAATGCATGAATAAGTGGAACAACAAATCAATGTTTCTCTCTTTCTCTCCCTTCCTCTCTCTCTCAAATCAATAAAAGTAAATAAATAAAATGCAATTACAACACAAAACAGATGCTACTGTATAAGTTGGAAAGCAATCTCTTTTAAGAGGTAGTTTGTAAATGAAGTATTAAGTATTAAGGAGGCAAGGATGCTTTCCAGGAAGCTGACAGGATGTTTCCAGAATCTTACTCAGGTGGAGAGGGGATAGCCTAAAGCAAGAAATCAGCAGCACGGTGGCCTGCTTATCTAGACGAACTGATAAAAAGAACTTTCTGCAAAGTTGGGGATGAGGTCTTGGACCACAGGGATCCCACTTTGAAATCAGCTCTTCTGATTGCAATGAAAACAGAAAAAGGTAAACACAAAAATGTAAAAGGATAATTCTTAAAATGGCACGCTTTAAAAAATATCAGAAAATCTTAAAATTAACTGCTGAACACACATTAACAAGGAAAACATAAGAAACATGTCATAACCCAAGTACCTTTAAAATAAAACTATTTTTTAGTTCCAAACCCCAGTACACATCAATTACATGAGATCTTTTTTTTTATTTTATTTAGAACCTGTATCTTTGTTTTAAGACGTGGTATAAACAAAGTAAAATACAAACAACTTGTTATTAACATAACAACTGCAGTTATTAACTGTGAGAAAACAGTAAAAAAGAGTCATATGTTCTTGCAACAGAATTATCCCAGTCATTTTGTGATAGCAAATTCTGGCAAGAAATGATAAATTCACTTGTTATGAAAAGTACTTAAAGAATTTCCAAAACTGATCAGTTGTGCTGCAAGTAAAACAGCAATTATTCATAAGAGCCCTTACCTTTCTCTTATTGTCCTAAAAGATCTGCCATATAGGTAATTACTATTTTCAGATCAGTTGTTTAAACCAGATTCTTCCTGTAAAATCATACCTTAGCTTTATATATAATAAACTTACACTCATTTTCCCTTTCCAGTGGAATATCTAGTCTTGAAGCTAAAAAACACTTTCATAAAAGGAATAATTTAAAATCCTTCATGTAAATCTTGGTTCTTCTTTTTCTTCTACCTCACTTTTATTTTCTTCTATTAACTGATCTTCCTCCTCGTCACCAAAAGTCTGTTCCTGCATAGCGGTAAAGGAGAGAGACCGAGCAGCCACTTCGGCAGCGAGACCAGCAGTGAAGGTAAAATCCGGTGACAGCTGCAGCCGCGCCAGCCTCTGCCTGATGGAGGGCTGTGGTGAGTCCCTGGGAACTGGATGGGCAGCGATCAGGTCACCAACATCTGCCTGCTGAGAGTCATCTTCACTTTCCCACAGACATGCTCTTTTTTCAGCTCCTTGCAGGAAGCCTTCATGTGTAAAATTGTCTTTATTTTTACCATCTAGAGGGTTTTCACACAAATACTCAGTCCTATTACATATTTCATCATCAGTTATGGAGGGTTTACTACTTTCTTCTTCAATATCATTTTTACCAACTTTCCCCATATCTGAATCCATTGATGGTTCTGAATTACTTATGGGTTCCATTGGGTCTACAGGAGACAAGGATTTCAACACAGCTTTAAAGGGAAAAAAAAACAAAAAGAAAGAAAGAAAAATAATAACTAAGGACCCAGAAATAATTTAAACTTTAATTTAAACTCCCAGTAGATTTTTTTCTTATAAAGAACAAGAAATAAAGGCTAAATAAAACTTTCTAGTAAAATCAATATAAATTTATAAATCCAAAGAACTTTATAAGAGATAAAATGCCTAAGAAATGAAATGAGACAGGGTTATGATGAAGATTTTAAAATACCTCATGTATTCTCTTATCCAAAATATTAAAGCATTGATTCTCTAAGTGTGGTCTTTGAACTAATAGCATCATTCAGCATCCCCTAGGAATTTGGCAGAAATGCAAATTCTCAAGCCCCACCCCAGACCTACTAAATTGGAAGATGGGGTTGAGGACCAGATATGTTGATAAGCCTTCCACCTTGTACTGATGCATACTAAATTTTGAGGACCACAGCATTAAGAAATAAGCAGCATGGCTTTCACTGATAATATGTGAGATAAAAAGCCTAAGTAATCCAGATAATCATATTTTTAATACACATATATGTAAGTTAAAACAGCATGGAAAACAAACGTAACATACAATTCAATTTACTTGCCAACCACCTAACAAGACCCTGATGAAAGTAAACCTGTAACTTCTATACATTTTGTAATGTCACAGAAAAATATATAATGAAATAAAATCTGCACTCAAGACCAACTACTGTACAAAGCATAATACATAAATATAATATATAACCATACGGCAGAAGTTGTCCTTGCAAGGCAAATGAAGTTTTATTTAGCCCCTCTTGAAGTTAGTAGGCAGTGGGTTGCTTGCTAGGCAGTCTCTCCTCCCAGTATGAGGGGTTAGTACAATACAATATATTATGAAGCATGGCGGAAGAAATAAAAAAGTACATCTTGAAGATCTGGCGCTTATTTAAAAATTATTTTGTAAAATGTGTCCATTTGCAAGAAACAGATCCCTAAGCTGCAGTAACTCCACTAGAGAAGCAGCGACAACAGGTTCCAGTGCAGAATTTCCCTCTCTAATTCCATTCGGACTTTACCCCTGTAGGCAGAGATGAAAACAACTCTGGAAGATGTACCGAAAAACTTCATGGGAAAAGCACTTTATGGTATCAGCAGCTTTTTACTTAATTTCACAAACTAAATCAGCATTGTTGCCTTTTCAAATGTAAACTATCAAAGCACGTACCTGAAAAAGAGACACATTTCTCAGTGTTCTCTTTGCCCATATTGTCAATAGGATAATTTTAAAGCTACATGAAGAAAATACTAAACAATAAAAAAGGATACAAGTTTATATATAATGCTATTTTCAGTCTTCACATGCAGTTTTAATCTATAAATATGCTGGTTTAAAGAATGCAACATACGTTAGAAGTTGACTGATATTCCTGATAATTGCTAATTAAATGGGGCAGGGGAGTAATACAAGTGTATTAAATTAACATTGTGCTAGAATATAAGCCTCCAGGAGTGTAGGGATTTTTGTTTCTTGATTTATGTGTTAGGAATATAAAACAATGAACAGTGTGTTAAGAACTACTTGTTGAAGAAAGAATTTGTTGAATGAATACTATGAAGGATAATAAAACCCTTATTTAAGGAGACTGTATTACAGAGAAAAAAAAATCCAACGCATAGAAAACAACAGTGCCTAAAACATTAAGACTCTTAATCTATGAGTTATGTAGGCCCAATATATAAGCAGGTAACAGGAACTCAATTTTTACTGCTGCTTCTAGGAAGATCCTAATCTCCTATATGCTTTGCTGCTCAGACTTGCTTTCATTTTGCTACAGTGCCCTTCTGGCATGAGGGTCTGCATTGGTAGGAAAGGTGGCAGGGCTGGAGGATTCACAGAGGAGACTGGTGGAGAGGACAGCCTGGAGAAGAGGGATGTCTAGTAAAGGGATCAGCATGAGTGTTTTTCATGAATAAAAATAGTGAATTTGTGGAACCATAATCAGATAAATATAACTGGAGGAAGATATCTATATTGGAAATAGTGGGACATATAATTGGGAATGATGGACTCATATGATGGAAAGGCTTAACACCAGGAAAAGGAGTTTAGATGTGATACAATAAAAAGGGGGGCACTGCTGTAGGTTTTATAGTTGATGTTTGTTAAAAAATATTTTTATTGATTTCAGAGAGGAAGGGAGAGGGAGATAAAAACATCAATGATGAGAGAGAATCATTTATTGGCTGCCTCCTACATGCCCCCCACTGGGATTGAGCCAGCAACCCAGGTATGTGCCCTTGACTAGAATTGAACCCAGGCCCTTTCAGTCCGCAGGCCAATGCTCTATCCACTGAACCAAATTGGCCAGGGCTGCTGTAGGTTTTTAAGTAGAGAGCTATTGTCAATTTGCTGTTTGAGAAATATCTAGACCAGTGATGGCGAACCTTTTGAGCTCGGCGTGTCAGCATTTTGAAAAACCCTAACTTAATTCTGGTGCCATGTCACATATAGAAATTTTTTGATATTTGCAACCATAGTAAAACAAAGATTTATATTTTTGATATTTATTTTATATATTTAAATGCCATTTAACAAAGAAAAATCAACCAAAAAAATGAGTTCGCGTGTCACCTCTGACACGCGTGTCATAGGTTCGCCATCACTGATCTAGACCTTGCAAAGTTAGAAGCTATCATTGAAGCTTAGACACTATTTCTAAGGATAGCTTAGAAGACAAAGATACTGAAATGGAAGTCAACTAAGGCTATTATAATACACTAGAGGCCTGTTGCAGGAAGATTCCTGCAAGAATAGGGCTTCCTGCGGCTGGAGCAAAGCAGAGAAGGGAGCGAAGCTCGCGGAGGCGGGCCTCGCTCCCTCCCGTCTCTGCTGCCTCGGCTTCCTCCCTTTTCTGCCACTTCACTCCCTTCTGCAGCGCGTGGCTTCCTTCTACGCTGTCTTCAGTCTTCACTACACGTGCCTGCGTATGCAAATTAACCACCATCTTTGTTGGGTTAATTTGCATACTTGCTCTGGCTGGTGGGCGTAATGGAGGGATGGTCAATTTGCATGTTTCTCTTTTATTAGTGTAGATGAGCATAATCTAATGAGGACCTGGGCTATAAAAGAGGTCAATGGAAAGAAGGAGGAAGGATAAAATAAAAAAAGTACGTGTGGACAAAGGAGAATCAAAATGGTAGGGCTCCTAAGAGGACCCTGAGGAACTTTCCAGAAGTTAACTAACCTATATATTTCGAGTAAAAAGAGAAAGAGAAAAGAAGACAACTGATTTTGAGGCTCTACATACTCTAAAATAGAAGGGAAGTCCCTCTACCTTCTTAGAAATTAATTCTTCATCTAGAAATTAGCTAGTTTAATATTGTCAAGTATTAAGCTTCCACTCATTCCTTTCCCTGCCTCCTAAGAAGTTCAACTAAAGATGGGTGGGAAACATAGAGGAGTTAAGGCTAATCTTAGGTCAGTGGTCGTCAAACTGCGGCTCGCGAGCCACATGCAGCTCTTTGGCCCCTTGAGTGTGGCTCTTCCACAAAATACCGACTTCTGCGCATGGGCACAAAGTTTCAATTGCACTCTACATGCACGCCCACATGTGGTATTTTGTGGAAGAGCCACACTCAAGGGGCCAAAGAGCTGCATGTGGCTCGTGAGCCGCAGTTTGACGACCACTGTCTTAGGTATTGCCAGTCATTCAGCTTTGTCCAAATCCAAATATGGAAACAGTGTGCACAGAAGCAGGCTCTCAACTCCCATCCACTACAGTGTTCAAATCCCTGAGTAACCTAAATGATGTAGCTAAGGGCCTAGGTCTCTTAGTCCATTTGTTTCAACAGTGAACCCAATTATTTGTGTTTCACTGAGGTATTTATAATATCAACATAAAGAGAACAAAGTTTAGAATCTCAAATACATAAAATTTAAAAACACTCTAATTTATTCAACTCACTGTCCATTCCAAAACAAATTCAGTCAAAAAATCAAATAACTGATGAAAAGTGTGATTTTTATATTCCATTTCATTACATACCTACTCTTTAATTGAACAAATGGATTTTGTATCTAGAAGAAAAAGTACTATACTTACTGGTGGATCCCTAAAATTAGAGTCATAAGAATTCTGTAACCAAAATAAGATTCAGTTAAAGCAAAATCCCCTACACTGAAATAACCTTTTACTCTGAAGTCAGTGCTTACCGTGATCACTAAATAGAAGTTGCTTCCACTTCTGCCTTTCTGCCTCTGATGCTTTGAATCCCAGCACAGATTTTAATTCTTGGAGTACCCTCTTGGATTCTTCATGCTCACGCTTCTGTCTCTCTCTGTCTTCTTGAGACAAGTAATAAAAATCATCCTTTCTTAAATCACTGTCCATATCTAAATCATCTACATAAGCTTCTAATTCCTGAAAATGAATAAAAGAAAAAGAACTTTACTTCAAGCAGATGATTTTCTAGCAGTATTTATTTATTTGCACCTACCCTTCTCCAAGATTAAAAAAGGAGGACTCTTAGCACAGGTCAGTAAAACACAGTTGGGCAAACAAAGCAAACATAGATAAGTGGACATCTTAAAAAAACTTTATTTGATACTATAAAGGGTTTTAAGTAGGGAAGTTTAATAACTCAATCGTTATTTTTCTACTTTGATACCATTCTACAGATCTAGTAAAGGTTACAGTGATTAGCTCTGTCAAAACCAATCAAAATTAGCCCGGCTGGTGGTTGGGGAGGTGGTCAGGTATGTTAGTCCTCTTATGGTAGAATTTGTGGTGCTTTCTGAGGTCCCAGGAAGTCTGAACACTATTCCTAGGATTGTGGAACACCTCATCTATGGCTCTCCATATCACTAAGGCAGATGGAAGGATCCCTGCTTACCCAGACTCCCTTGCAGTTATGGTTCAGACAAACAACTGAGATCCTCTAATCAGATATATCTGGATCAGATCTGATTCAGAAGTATGTTATAAAAGAAGCAGGCATTTCATGGAATCCACTCTGGTAAGAATGGTGGCAAAAAAGTTTCCAGAGGCAGAAGTTCTGAAGGTAGCATTGAAGGAGCAAGTGGCAATGTCTGTGCCCAGTGACTTACAGTGGTGTTGCCACTGTAAAAGTTCTTTTGAGTGATTTTAGCTTTTTACCCCAGCCCTGGTTCAAGCCTGATTACCTGGCCCTCTGAATGTTCCGTGAGGTATCTAATGTTTATAATTTATTATTTTAAAAAAATATATTTTATTGATTTTTTACAGAGAAGAAGGGAGAGAGATAGAGAGTTAGAAACACTGATGAGAGAGAAACATTGATCAGCTGCCTCCTGCACACCTCCTACTGGGAATGTGCCCGCAACCAAGGTACGTGCCCTTGACCGGAATTGAACTTAAGACTTTTCAGTCCGCAGGCTGACGCTCTATCCATGAACTAAACTGGTTAGGGCTATCTAATGTTTTTTTAAAAAATTTATTCTTTGTTAAACTAAGTAGAGTTGATTTCCCTTTGCAATTAAGGATACTGAATAGACTATATGATCTAAGGAAAACTTCTTGAGCAAAAGAAATCTTTGTCAATATCGAAAGTGAGACATAACATAAATGCAGTCAAATGCATAAGATGAATGTATAAAATTTTTAGATATGTATACATGGTGGTAGATCAAGATAAAAACATTTTCAGTATCTCAGAAAGGTACCTTTGCCAAGGCACTAAGAACTAATGATTTGATATATATTCAATACATTATATTGTGATTTTGAAGCTCATTAGAAACATAAATTCTACAATGTCACTTACAGAGAGCAATAGGTAAGTTTCACATGTGCAACTCTTCTTTATGGGAAACAAGCAATTTTCACCCTTACCTGCTCCTCAGGGATTGGATCTTTGTCTGCAATGTGTAGAGTAGGCTGCAGCACGGGTACCACAGTACAGCGTGGGCTTTCACATGCTATTTCAGGTTTGCCTTAAAAAGAAACAGGCCACACAGAAATGAGTGAATATCTGATTAACAACCAAAATACCGAACAGTTCCTTCACCTCAAAACATTTATTTATACTGCCTCTTTATACCATATTCCTCCTTCCATATCTAATCCCTAGTAATCATTGATGTGTATTCTGTTCCTATTAAAATTTACTATTTTAAGAATGTCATATAAATGGTATCATATAGTATATGGTGATTTAAGTCTGGCTTCTTTTGATTAGCATAATGCATTAGAGACTCCTCCATCTCATTATTTTTTTGTTAATCCTCACCAAGAATATTCTTCCATCGATCTTTTTGTTGTTGTTTTATTTTAGAGAGAGTGGGAAGGGGAGAGACAGAGAGGATAGAAATGTCAATGTAAGAGAGACACATCGATTGGTTGCCTTCCACATGTGCCCTGACCAGGGCCAAGGATCAAGTCTGCAACTGAGATATATGCACTTGACTGGACGCAAACCCGAGACCCTTCAGTCTGCGGACCAAAGCTCTGTCCACTGAGCCAAACTGGCTAGGCTCCTCCATCTTATTGATGTATCAGTTTATTTCTTTTTTTATTGCCGAGTAGTAGTCAGTTATATGGATGGATGTAACAATTTATTTATTCACGAGCAGAAGGGCACAAGCTTCTTTTAGGTTTTAGTGATTATGAATAAAGCCACTATAAATATATATTTGTGTATAGGTTTTTGTGTGAACATTAAGCTTTTATGTCTCTAGGGTAAATATCTAGGAATAATATTACTGAGTCATTTGGTGAGTGTATGCTTAACAGTGGGAAAAATTTTGATGAGGAAAGGGTATTTATATAATCATAAAGTATTATTTTCACAAAATACTTATAATGAAAGAGAAGAAAGGCTAAAAGAGAATAAAGATCACCAAAACTAAATGCCATGTGTGATCTGGACCTGGACATTAGAAAAATGCAAACAGAAGTATTTATAGGTAATGAGGTTTCATTTCTGCATCTTACTCTCAAATGGTTAAGAATAATATCACCAAAGGAATTCACATATAGATACATAGATAAGGCAAATGTGTTAGAATGTCAACAACTGGGGAATCTGGATGAAGAGTACTGTGAACTATTCTTGTGATATTCCTGTAATTTTGAAGTAACTTTACAAGATACAGCTAACTAAAGCACCTGCATCTAAAAAATGCAAATGAACATTTTTTTAAATCCTCACCTGAATATATGTCCTTTTGAAAAATTGATTTTAGAGAGAGAGGAATGGAGAGAAAGAGGGAAACCACAATGTGAAAGAGAAACTGATCAGTTATCTCCCATATGCACCCCAACCAGGGATCGAACCCGCAACCTAGTTATGACCAGAAATTGAACCCACATCCTTTTGGTGTACAGGATGATGCTCCAACCAACTGAGCCACCCAGCTAAGGCTCAAATGAACATTTTATTTTTATATTTTAAAAATATACTTTATTGATTTTTTACAGAGAGGAAGGGAGGGGGATAGAGAGTCAGAAATATCGATCAGCTGCCTCCTGCACACCCTCTATTAGGGATGTGCCCCTAATCAAGGTACATGCCTTTGACTGGAATAGAACCTGAAACCCTTCAGTCCACAGGCCGACGCTCCATCCACTGAGCCAAACCAGCCAGGGCTCAAACAAACATTTAAAGTTGTGTAGCTATGGCCACTATGAGCATTTTAGTGAGAAAAGTTTGTGAATTACTTCTATTCATATCATTATTATATAGAGCAAAAGCCACATATACAGAGCATAATTAAGAAATTGCTTTATCACTTGCCCAATGCATTGGAGACAGTTATAACAATCATATTTAAGTGAGTGACTAAGATTCAACATCTCAGAGTATGCTAAGGAGAAGTGAGTGCGATGCATCTTTTAATACCCAATGGTAATTCAAATTATAGAAAATGTACTCAAAAGCTCTAGACTTGGGTCATTTCAAAAAGTTTAAATGCATAAATATCTGCACTGATTAAAAATCCTTGGCAAGCCCGGCCAGTGTGGCTCATTGATTGAATGCCAACCTATGAACCTGGTTGCAGGCTCGATCCCTAGTAGGGGGCATGCAGGAGGCAGCTGATCGATGATTCTCTCTTATCACTGACTAGAGGGCTAGTGCACAAAAATCGTGCAATTGTGTGTGTGGGGGGGGCGGGTAGTTCCTCAGCCTAGCCTGCACCCTCTTGCAGTCTGGGAACCCTTGGGGGATGTCCGACTGAAGACTTAGGCCCACTTGGCAGAAGGACATCCTTAGCGCTGCTGAGGAGTTGGAAGAGGCTCCTGCCACTGCCGCTGCGGTTGCCAGCCATGAGCCCGGCTTCTGATTGAGCGGCACTCTCCTTTTGGGAGTGCACTGACCACCAGGGGACAGCTCCTGTGTTGAGTGCCTACCCCCTGGTGGTCAGTGTGCATCATAGCAAACGGTCATTCTGCTGTTCGGTTGATTTGCATATTAGCCCTTTATTATATAGGAGGATGTTTCTAGCTCCCTCTCCCTTCCGCTCTGAAATCAGTAAAAATATATTTTTTAAAAATCCTTGGCAAAATTATCCTTGGCAGGAAAAATTACTCACTATTTATATTTGAGACATAAAGGAAATCTATTGGTACTATTAACATTTTCTTTTTTCAAAGGAAATACTTTTACTATCTAAGGACTTATTCAACATATTTAAGACATTAAAGTATTACAGATTTAGCTGTAAACAAAACAATGAAACAGAATAATAAAGCATCAATCATCTTTGGCAGAAATACAATTTCTGTTATTAACTTCATCATAAAGGTGGAAGGGATAAACGCAATTTATAGCAAATTTTAAAAATTAATATTCCAAACATTTACAATGAAATTGGTGAGATCAGTAAAACAAAGTATAAAATCTGGGTTAAATGAAAGCAGGTTTGTGGAGGATTTCAAGACTATCTTTTTACCTAGCAGTATTACTCTTAAATAATGGTACTTAATACATTTTAGACCCCTAATAACAAATACATAGTGCTACCTATTATAACACTTGCATAAAATTTCTGAATAACTAAAGTAAGAATTTCATCTTAGAAGCAAAACTCAATTTCTGGCCCATGAATATCAAAATCATCATTACCCTTAATTGGAAAAGAGATTCTGGAAGTTCTAATAATAAATAATATTATTAAAATCTATCCCTTCAGTCTGCAGGCTGATGCTCTATCCACTGAACCAAACTGGCTAGGGCTGTTTTTCTTATTAGTAAGAGCCAAGACTTTATATTCAGTGTTAATTTGTACATATAAGTTCAACTTAAAAAAATTAGAAACATAGATCAGTTGTCTCCCACAACTAAACCCAAAACATAGGCAAGTGCCTTGACGAGGAATTAAACCCGCCACCTTTTGGTATACAGGAAGACACTCCAACCAACTGAGCTACACCAGCCAGGGCCATATAAGTTCAACTTTTTCTTTAGTAAACTAAGAAGGCTTGCCAAGTGAGTTTCATCATAGAGAAGAAATACACCTAATAAAATCCTAACTGCAGAGGAATATATGGAAGAAATCTCTCTCAGGTACCTTTTATATCTGTAGTTCTTCGTAGCAGTTTGTCCACTTGAGAAATGGCCTCTTCCCAACAATTGTTGCTTGCTTGAACATGGGGCTGAATCAACTTTAATTTCTGTTCCAGGATTTGATAAGCTTCTGACACTAGTTCTTGTGTTTCTTTAGTACAAACAAGCTTTTCAAGTTCATCTTCAAGAATTATTACCCTTAGTAATAAAGAAAAACAGTTTCACCATGGAGATTTCTAAAACATAAAATGGAAAATTTATCATTTATAAGGCCTATTTAAGAAATAAGCTTAGAAGTTTAAAAATGTTTTGGAGATGGAAGGTAGTGATGGTTGTACAACAATGTGAATATACTTAACGCCTTGAACTGTATTGTTAAAAATGATTGAAGGGTAAATTTTATGTTACGTGTATTTTATAACACTTTTTAAAAAAGCTTATAAACAGTGTCATATATTTATCCCACAAATATTGCTTGCATATATACTAGGCATGAACTGAAAGGACAAGTTAAACCCATCTTCTATTTACAAGAAAAATAATGAATCAGATAAATTATACATATGTATAAAATACAATTATCATAAAAAGTCATAACATTTTATTGCATTTACAGATGAGAAATTAGGTCCAGAGAGTTGAAGAAACTTGCTGAGTCATACAGCTGATAAGTTGTAAACCTGGGTTGAATCCAGGCACAAAAGTATACCACAGAGAGATAAAGATAGTGTTATAAGAATTCAGAAGAGGGGAACATTGCTACCAGCAATGGGACAGATAGGGAGTAGCTAAGGAAGAGGTCCTTTTGAGGGAGCAGTGAAGGAGGGATAAAATTGAAGCATGTACAAAAGATGAGGAAGGTCACTCTACCTTATCTCCCATATTCCCTGTGGGCATATGGCAATTTATACAGTTTGGCTGGACTGAAGGAAAAGGAGAAATCAAGACAGAAAAGCAGACTGTAGTCAGATTATGGCAGACCTTTTTTACAGAATGTTTTATATAGACTTCAGTCTAAGCAGCTATATTCTGAAACCAGTTAAGATTTTTAGTTAAGTGAGAAAGCAAATATATGCCTCAGGAACCATCTAGCCGTGAGCACTCTGGAGGAAGAACAGTTAAAGGGTTAATGTCCTCATGTAAGAAAGTGAGAGTGGGAATAGCAAAGGGAACAGGGGCAAAGGAGTGAAACACAATTTTAGATGACATTTCAAGGTTGTAGCAGTCTATAGAGCAATTCATATATGATAGCTAAAGACTGGTATACTCTCTAGTTAAGATATAGAATATTTCATTTTTAAATAGAGAACATATTTCCCATCATAATCCACAACTCCTGACAAAGGTACAAAGCCCTCTTTTTCATTTTCATATCTGTACAGTGTAGCACTCTTCCTTCCCTAAGCCACCTTCTCTCATTATAATATACTAGAGGACCATGGAGAGCGGGCCTAAGCCGTCAGTCAGACATCCTTAGTGCTGCCGTGGAGGCTCCCGCCACTGCCACTGTGCTCGCCAGTTGTGAGCCCAGCTTGTGACTGAGCTGCACTCTCACTGTGGGAGTGCACTGACCACCAGGGGGCAGCTCCTGCGTTGAGCATCTGCCCTTGGTGGTCAGTGCATCAGAGCGACTGGTCGTTCCGTTGTTCGGTCGATTTGCATATTAGCCTTTTATTATATTTCCTCTGATGATGATTCAACCTTTTTCACCCACTCACCTTAAGACTGCCTTACCTCCCATATTCCCTGTGGCAGACAGAGCTGAGTCAGGTTAGCATTCACCCGCTTTCTTGGAATAGGTGCTACAGACCACTGGAACAGTCCTGCCTCATAGTGTCTTAATTTTTCCTTATGCCCTATCCCAGCCCTGGGCAAACTACGGCCCGCGGGCCGGATCCGGCCCCTTTGCAATGAATCAAACTAAAAAAAAAAAAAAAAAAAAAAAAAGACCGTACCCTTTTATGTAATGATGTTTACTTTGAATTTATATTAGTTCACACAAACACTCCATCCATGCTTTTGTTCCGGCCCTCCGGTCCAGTTTAAGAACCCATTGTGGCCCTCGAGTCAAAAAGTTTGCCCACTCCTGCCCTAACCTTTACATCAGCCTTATATACCTAATGCCAGACCTTAAACTGATGAGTGGAAACTTTTCTCAAAATGTCTTTATGACCTTAACTTCCTATCTTTGTACACCATATCCTTCTTCAGTCCTGTAAACCAGCCTTTTAATTTTACTGAGACTTCAAGCCTTTTTGACTCATTTTTATTTTTGGTCTTACAAAACTGATTAATGGCCTCTCCCTTCCACTTCTTGCCTGGTATCCAGGATAAAGTACCTAAACTATGATCATATCAACCCATTAAATTCCGATGACCTTCCTGATTGCCAGCACAACATGAACCCAACCATTCGTCTGATCCAGTCCCTACTACAAGTCTGTCTTCTGCACCATACCTGCTACCAAGGCAGAGTGCCAGCAATTCCATGCAAAGTAGATCACCTAATATGGACCCTACATTGTATTATCTAACTGGGGCCAAAAAACATGTCCTATGCTATGGAAAAAGAGTCCAAATCTGTTGAATTTATTTAGAAAATAGCAATGTGTTATTCTTTAACTATATATATAAAACGCCTCTTATAATTTATTTTTCCAGTGTTGGCAGATATTCTCCTAGAGTGCAGGCTCCAGTTTAAGAGCCCTACCTAAAGGGAGTTAAACTCATTCTTCGTAAACTTCTCCATTGCAGCTCTCAAACAGAATGAACATCTGCTTTTGTCCTATTTTTCTAGGTTGTCTGTTGAAATCAAGAAAAGTAAAAATTATAAATGTACCGAATTATAGTACTTATAAATCATGCTTCTCTGCTCTGTTTGTAAGTATAAACCATCTTTCATGCTTATGTCTCCATTTTGCTGCTTCTCTCTAGCTAGGACACAAGCCAAGAACCACAATAGCCCAAGAGCGAAGCTTGCTAACCATGGGGACATTTCCTTATATAGCTTCTAAACTTACTCATTCAGCAATGCTTTCAGATGGAGCTGCAGACTGCGTACTGCTGTATGAACATTATTCAGTTCTCTTGACTTCTGTTGAGTTTTGCATAAACGCTGGGGTACTGACTGGTGCTGAGTTTCAAAGTATCGATAAAACTCATAGCTGCGCTTAAGCTCTTCCAAGCAGGCAGAATGAGCATGAGGTAGACCCTGAGTCACATCAGATAAAATATGATGAGGCAAAAGTGCTGGAGTAAGTAAGGGCCCAGGAGGGGCATTGGCTGTAGAAAGTAATAGGGCTAACCGTCTGAAGAACTCTGAGCTCTGTGCTACCCAGAGTTGGAACAAAACCTAAAAAAAAAGAAAAAAAGAACTAGATCAATAAAAAATATTGGCCAACATTCAAAACAAACTACAAATTTAACTTCTAGTTTAAATTTTCCACTTTATCATAAGTAATGGATATAGTTGAGCTTGAATTAACTCTAAGATTAGCCAAGAATTTTATATCAAATTATGTAGTCATTGCACATGGGAACTTCTGATCCCAATATAGCAGGAAATACCAAAATATAACATGGTACAGTTCTAATCTAGAAGGAAAGTGTTGATAAATTGAGACACATGTATTAGAAGTAAATATTAAATATTTTAAAATTTTACACAAAGGAGAAATGAAAACAGTAGGAATGATAGAGCTATATAGGTTCAAAGAAATGAGTTATTGATGGGCCCAGAGTTTGGGGTTCAAAATTACACCATTGTTTTGGCTAGGAAATAGTTAAAAAATAACATAAAAATCAGTCCCTGAGTGTTTATACTCAGGAGTGTCTAGCACAAGAAATTTACTACACTTGATCTTAGCCAAAAGGCCGAGAAGCGATAGCACAAGAAATTTAAAACCCCCTTCTTTTGTTGTTGTTAATCCTTACCCAAGGATATTTTTTGCATTGATTTTTAGAGAGTGGAAGGGAGGGGGTGAGACAAAGAGAAACACTGATGTGAGAGAGACACATTGATTGGCTGTCTCTCGCACATGCCCCGATAGGTTGGGGATCGAGCCTGCAACCAAGGTACATGCCCTTGACTGGAATCAAACCAATGACCCTTCAGTCCAAAGGCTGACACTCTAACCACTGAACCAAACTGTCTAAGGCCAAAACCCATTCTTGAGAGACAACCCCTGACTTCAGGCAGTAAAGGATTTCTGTAGGTATAGTCCTATTCTAGAGGAGGATAATATCTCCAAAACAAAGAAACAAACATGAGGAAACAATCTATTATGAACAAGAATTGGCATACAACAAAGAGGAATGAACAAATTTAGATTTCCAATTTTTCACAACCAGGAAAGTGAACATTATTTACATTGTTTTATTAACTGAACATTAAAATTAGGCAAATAATAAGATAATTTAATGTAAACCTATTTTACCATTGAACTTTTTTTTTTAAATAGCAATGTCAAAAAAATAAATAAGCAAGGTCAAATTTCCAAATTGCTAAAGACATTTACCTAGGAATTCTTGAATATAAACAAGCTTACCTCATAGGTCTTATTTAACCATTAAATTCATGACTATAATGATTTTCTTTATCCCTATATTGGTTCTTTCAGCAAGTATTTTTTGAGCACTTATGATGTATCAGGCTTTATTCTATATGCTGATAATATAGCTTTGAACAAAAGTGAAAAATTAAAAAAATCCTTGCCCTGATGGAGCTTATATTTAAGTGCGGGGGCGGGGGGCGATAAATAATAACAAGTAAAAGACAGAGTTTCTTGGTTGATGTGCTATGAGGAAAAATACAGCAGAGAAGGGGACTAGCGAGTGTGTACTGTATGTGTGTTTACACGGGGGAAGGTAATAGGGGCTAGGGAGGTGGAGGGATGGGGTGGCCAGGAATGTCTCTAAAAAAGTGAGATCCAGAATTAAGCCATGAAACTATCATCAGGGAAGAGAATTCTAGGGAGCAGGAGGTTCAACTGCAGTTATTTAGTAGGAGAGGACTTGGCACTTCTGAGGAACAGGGTCAGTGTGACTGGGGTACAGTAAGCAAGGAGAAGTGTGGTAAGTGATGAAGGCACTGAAGTAGCTCTGGCTTTTACTCTAAGAGAAATGAGGAGCCACTGAAAGGTTCTGAGCAGCAGAGTTATACGATCTGAATTATGCTTTAACAAGCCCATTCTGGCTGCTGTGTTGAGAGAAGATAAGGAGGTGAGAGTAGAAGTGGAGACCAGTTAGGAGGTTATTATAATAATTCAGGTAAGGGTTAATGGGGTAGCTTGTACCACAGTGGTTAGTGGTATCAGGTGAGTAGTAGTTGGACCCTGGATATATTGTGAAAGTAGAACCGACAAAATCTCTTGACCAATTGTTTATGGGAGGAAAAGTGTTATGAAGAATGATTCCAGAGTTTTGGTCACAGCAACTGAAACAATCAAGTGGGCATAGCTTACTGCCACTTTTAAAATACTAATTTATTGTTTAATCACTACCATATAATCCAATCAAACCAAAACTCAAAATTATATATATATATATATATATATTTGTTTGTCCTTTGGATGAGGGGATAACCATAATTTATGGACAGGTGGGAAATTTTTATGTAAAGCATTTTTTAAAAATATGGATTTATTTTTTAAAGCAGGAAATATATTACTTCATAATAACTTTAAAAACTAGTTACAAATTTAAACAATAAGAAGAAGGAATAAGGACTCTGTACTAAATATTTTATATGTCTTCTCAGGATTGCAAAGTTTTCCTGAGGGAAAATAGGTGAAAAAAAATAATAAATCCAAAATGTATTTTCTTTATGGACACCATGAAAATTACAGAAGAAAACAAAAGGTCCTGATTTATTTGTAAACCATCTTTCACTACATAAAAAAAAAATCTTTAATTAGTGCTGCTCTTTTGAGAATTTTCTTTTAAAATTTATACAAAATCTGTTAAAAAAAACTTTCTTTTGGGTACAATGGCAAATGTACAAGGCAAAATACAATTTTTAAGTGTCACAGGGGTTTCCAGCAGTTTATACACTACAGGTCCAAGATAAGGCTTCTTTCAGAGGTTGATGTTCCTGGTCAGAATGCAATACATGAAGTTTGGTTATAGATTAATTATATGTCGAAATAAAGCAAAAATCAAAATACTAAAGTTAGTCTTTAAAACAACATGAGTGAGCAAAAGGGGTCCAGCAGTATTGGAATTAGGGTGGGGAGATAAAAGAGAACAAGCCTCACATTTTAGAGTAGATCCCATCAGAGGCAATTAAAAAAATCAGCTAACATTTATTAATCACTCTGTCCCAGGCATTGAACTGGCAAATATCAAATCCCTCAGAGGTAAGCATTATGATCATCCCATTTTTATAAACACAGAAACAGGGATTTGCTCAAGAAAACATTCACCGTCAAGTGATGGAACGAGTCAAACCTGGAAAGTCTGACTCTAGGGGAGTCACTTTTTCTCTTTGCTGCCTATACTTAAGCTGAAATACAATCCAAGATTCAATAAGCTTTTAAAAACAATATGTCAAAAGTGTAAACAATAATAGCTATTACCGTGTATGGTACCCATTATATGACAAGCTTCACTGTCGGTATTTCATATGTCTTCTCATTTAACGCCTTGTAGGGCAGGTATGTATGGTGGCCCTTTTTACAGTTGAGGCAAATTCAAATAATTTATTCAAGGTCAAAAGTTAGTGTCAGAGCTAAAATATAAACCTGGGTCTGCTCAATTCCAAAATCCCTGTTTTTTCTTAAGAATCTCAAATTGTACTGAATTTGGAAGTAAATGGAATTTTCTACAATGTGACCATCCTAAAGGGTAGCTATTGGTGTCCTGGTATTTTCTATTAGTCTTTTTGTAAAGACAGAGTTGTGGCCATACTGTATATACATTTTTGTGTGCTAATTGCTTCACTGGTTTAACATACATTTCCCCAAGTTTTTAAAAAATCTTCAAAAGCAAACTGTAGTTACTACACAATGGTCCACCATGTGGATTTACCATAATTCATGCAACTATTCCTTAATTGCTATGCATTTAGGCTCTGTTCATTTCCGCTATTGTAAACAAAGCTAATAAGCAACTTGGTACATAAAACTTGATTCTATTTGGAATAATTTATTTAAGAAAGATTTGCAGAAGTGGAATTACTGATTCAAAGCATATATTATTTTAAAGGCACTTTGTATGTCAAATTGCATTCTGAAACAAACAACTTTAGGGAATTAAAAAAACCTGTAAGAAAACTATTGAAGCAGCTCAGGTAAAAGGTGATGGCATTCAGGAGTAGGATGGTGGGGAAGAACCCAGAAAAAATAGATGAATTTAAAATATCTTTTGAAGGTAGAACTGACACAAAATTATGATGACAGACCGGATGTGAGGAGTAAAAGGAGGGATAAGATGGTTAGTGTGCAGGTTTCTAGCTTAAGTTGTAAGATGGATTCGAATGAGGATAAGAATAAGTCAAGGCAAATTTCAGGTAAGAGAGAAGAAAAACAAACAGATTTAGAACATTTATATGAATATGAAAAATTAAAGATGTAGAAGTTTATGCAGTCTCAAGACAAAATGGAGCCCTAGTCGGTTTGGCTCAGGGGATAGAGTGTCAGCCTGTGGACCAAAGGTTCCTGGGTTCGATTCTAGTCAAGGGCACGTACCTTGGTGTAGGCTCCATCCTGGCCCTGGTCGGGCCATATGTAGGAGGCAACCAATCAATGTGTTTCTCTCAAATCAATGTCTCTCTCTCTCTCTCTCTCCTCCCTTCTACTCTCTCTAAAAGATCAATGGGAAAAATATTCTCATTCCTTGGCCGAGGGTTAAAAAAAAAGAATTATGAGTATTTTGATATCAAACTATAAGGATCTTCTTTTCCAATCTTTATGATGTTCTCCAATTTTAAAGGCAGCTTCACAAACATCAGTAAGGTTATTGCAGTAATAGTAATCAGCAAATAATAAAAGAGAACAGGTGCACCATTTGTGCTCAAAAAGCACAGGCACAATCCAAGAGCATCTAACTCTTCCTCAGCCCTTCCTTCCATTCTACCAGTGGATTACCTTCAATGCAGGCAGGCTGAAACCATCTGTAAGGTTATGTGCTTCCTCTTCTGAAATCTGCTCCTCACTAAGTCCAAGGCCCAGCTCCTTAAAAGGCACCACACAGATGTAGTTGGTTACATTGTCACTCTCAGAGTTCAGGGGGTAGGTTAAATTAGGTTAAGGCAATCAACAAAGTCTTCATAAAACATACAAGGTACATTAAGACTGCCCAGCCCAACCAGCATGGCTCAATGGTTGAGCGTCAACCTACAAAAGTAATCTTTGCATTCCACTTACTCATAATTTATTTATGAATCATAAATAAAATATATTACATACCTTTATTTCCTGACTAATAGAAATAATTTTTTTATTTAGTAAATTTAAGTGACTGACTTATTGTCATGTATTCTCTGTATCAGACACTATCTAAACACTATATGCACTAACTCACTTGATTTCAACAAAAACACAGTAAGGTTGTGTTAGTATTGACATTTTAAAAATGAATAAAGAAAGGTACAGAGAGTTAAGAAACTTGCTTAAGATCACCTAGGCAATAACTGATATGGTCAAAATTTAAATATTGCCGATTTGACTCTAGGGCCTTTGTTTTGTGAAAGGAGAAAGATTTCCTGTTGCCAGTTTATTTCGATGTCATGACACAAATTTGCCATGTTCAGTAATTTAAAAAAAAAAAAGCCAGGCCCAGCAAAGCCAGGTCTTTTGAATTTATTCTTTGGACCAGTAAAGGGAGAGATTTCAAGTTTTTTTCCTTATTAAAAATGAATCACATGAGAGAACAACTATCTTCTTGTCTGTTATTGCCTTTCCCCCTTTGAATACATTTCCAGTTTTAAAATAGAAGTGCTGATGGAAATTAGCTTCAGAATAAGCAATTTCAGTTTACGGTTAACTTTACAGGATGCAATTATAATATCTATATTCAGCACTCTGGAAACATATCTTATTGTTAAATTTAGACAAAAAAGGATATTTTTTCAGCATATATAGGGTAGCCAGCCTTGCTGCTTGAAAGTTGGCTCTTACAGTTCTGTAGACAGCTTTCCGAAGACCGATGAGATGCTGACTGGGATGCTGTCCAGCTTTATTAAATGGGCAAGCAGCACTGACCCTGTCAAGCAAACTTGAAAAGTAAAATGTGATACAACTGTACAGGTGTTCTAAAGTTTTTGTTTCCTATATCCATAATTCTATTAAGTTTAGAAAAAAATCCTTTTCCATGATTTTCATTAGAAAATGTTTATCAGTAACCCCACTCAGGTCTCATAAATAGCCATTTCCCTGATACATATATAGTCACCAGAAAAAGACAAATGAAAAATTTAAATCTCAGAGTAATGGCTTCCTCTGATATGAAGAAACGAAAACATTATAATTGAAATATAGAAATGTAGGAATATTTATGTAAAAAAATGAAACTTTTTAATATAGACACTCTACCTGCTAAAACATACTAAAGTGGTACTACTTTACATTTAGTTTCCAAGCCTTTATCTACAGTAAATATAAAAGCTTTAATTATAAACACTTTCACATTCTTAATATGCATTCATATATGTTCATTAATCGTGTTTTTGGCCACTTGTACAGAATGCATTCTGTACATTCATAAAAGTAGGGTAAAATGACTTACCCACCTGCTGCCACTGGCACTTACCTACTCAAAATGAAGTAGGGGCCGCAGAAAGATAACAGGACCAGTGGCCAACAGGGGAATGCAAGTAGAAAGGCAAAGTAAAGGTTACTGTGTAGTTGCATAGCTACTCTCAAAACTGTTCAAGAGGAAGCACATTTCATAGCACTTTCCAAAAGCTAAGTGGGGAGTATCTATTTGAAACAATGACATATAATACATTATGCTTTTATAAATGAAACTATGAATAGTTATTAGATAAGAGTATTTTTTTTTCACCTAACCATTAACCTCTCCCAATAGCAAAACAAAATATTGGAATTTATACATTTCTTATACTATAACCACACATTTGTAAAATAAGACATCTAACTCAAAACTTTAAAAATGTTAAATCAAACTAAAATATATTCAGGCATTGGAAATCTATTAAAAAAACAACCACAGGACAATGACTGCTGGCTTATTTTAAAATAAAGGAATGAAGCAAAGAAGGTTAAATTATTTGCTAGAGCAGACAGAGGCAGAACAAAAACAGTACTCATTTTTTTCAATATATGGCACTATTGTTTGTACTCCATTTTATTTACTGAATGAATTTTAAAAACTAAAAATATTATGATTCAAGATCTATTATTGCTCATAATTTTTTCAATCAATTATCCAGTTAGATGAAGACAAGTGAAGCATAATTTTTTCCAACATTTCTTCTGCCTGTCTGCATCTGAATAGATAGAAGTCAAAATCTGGAGGCAAATCATGTCTAACTGACCCAATTTAGCTCTCCATGCCTATTCTATACATATGTTTGTACAAGGTGGACAATGACAAGAGCACAGAACCCTCTATGCATGCCCAAGCATTAAATGAACAAACACACAGCACTTTGCGTAACCATTAAGCAGTCAGTTCTCTCAGTAAAGTCCTGTGCAAGTCAAGAATGAAAAGCCACTCTTATTCTTAGTGTGATTTTTAACTTTTAAATCTTGATACTCAAATAACTTAAAAACTGCTCTGCTCAGTCAAAAAGAAGTGAACAATGGAAGAACAAAAATAAACAAATACCGAGGACTGTTCCATTTTGAATTGAGCAGAAAGAAAAGTAATAAAACATCTCTTATGTCTTGGGATTGTTTAAAATACTGTTTCGGAACACAACAGTGAAGAATGAGATGACTACTGGAGATTCTTCCACTTCCCTGTTCGTGATTTTTCAAATACAGCTTTTATGCCAAGATCATTTCAGTACTATTCTAGGGAAGAGCACAGTAAAAGATGTGATGACTACCAAAGGGTCTTCTGCTCCCCCTTTTCATAATTTTCCAGATATAACGATAATTAAGAGCAATAATTATTCTTCACCATATACTTCATCATACTTTCTCCCACTTATAGATTGCAAAGGTTACATGTTATATAAATTATTACATATACACTATAATACAACCATCATCTGCTAGTGTTTAGCAGGCAGTCTGGTGTACTGCAATCAAGCTTGAGAGCCAGAAGGAAGGACATCTGCTCTATAACTAATAAACTGCTGTTGAGTAAATATAACTTTTCCTTTAATAATGGAATAAATAACCAGTATAACCTGCAGCTTAATACACTTACAGCTAGACTGGTGAATATTTAATTTCTCGTGGGAATGTGAAACATCATTACTTGCATGATATTCTGACAATATTGGTGCCATAATATCTACTAACATTTACCTAAAGAACATTTTTAATACAGGGCAAGAGTTTTCAAAATGAATTCATGTCAGATACAGCTATCAATTAAACTGAGGAAACAGAGTACCTGACAGGAAGTAAAGGAAACAAGCATTTATTGGGTAACTGTATGCTGGGTTCAATGGTAGGTTCCCTTTCTACATTATCTCATAAAATTACAGGTAACACACAGACATAATCATGATTCTCAAAGCACTTTGGTTTCTCAAAATAGATAAGCAGAATAATATTACATATTAAATCTAACATATTATTCCTTTAGTGAGCAGTTAATAGACTTTAATAAGTGCTAAAGAGAAACCCACTTTTTTCCTATAAAAGCAATACAAAAATGAAAATAGGTAGTAAATATTCTAATTTAACTATGTAATAAAAAAGAATTATTTAAAAATAAAATAAAAAATGAACTCACAGTGTAAATCCTCTGGAAATGACTTCAGTTTCTTGAATGAGACGTAAAGCTTTTCTCACAAGATTAGTAAAAGCTCGGCTATTTGCTGCTGCATTTTCCAAACGGCCATTGTATTTTTTTAGGGTTAATTGTAGTTTGGCTGTCCTCCATAATCTCAGAGCTCTTATGATCAGATAAACAAATAGAATCACTCCCCATACCAGCCAGGAAGAGACAATCCACCAAGTGGGAAGCATAATAAGCAAACTAATGAAGGCAAATAGCATTGAGACATCCCTATAACAGAGAAAAAGAAAAAAAGAAAACAATACTCATTAGAAAAGAGAAAGATGAGTTATTTTATCAGTAAATTAGGTTTCCTAAAATAAAATACCATCTTCTTTGTAACATATGGCTTAAAAAATGACATTAAAAAAAATCATGGCCTGGCTGGCATAGCTCAGTGGTTGAGCATCGACCTATTACCCAGGAGGTTGCGGGTTCAATTCCCAGTCAGGGCACATGCCCGGGTTGAGGGCTTGATCCCCAGTGGAGGATGTGCAGCTGATCAGTGATTCTCTCTCATCATTGATGTCTCTATCTCTCTTCCTCTCCCTTCCTTTCTCTGAAATTACTAAAAACATATTAAAAAAAAATCATGTGAAATAGTTTTGAAATATCTAGCAACTAGACAATGGTCCTTAGGTATTAAAACCTGAGTAATAAGTTTAGGTAAAGGACATAAGAAATTGGTGTCTTCTGAAATGACTTAGAGAACATTTTTTTAAATTTTTTCAATTACAGTTGATATTCAATATTATTTTACACTAGAGGCCTGGTGCACAAAATTCATGCCCTCAGGGGGTGTCCCACTGATGGCTTAGGCCTGCTCGCTGCTGGGAATGGGACTAAACCGGCAGTTGGACATCCTTTGTGCTGCCGTGGAGGTAGAAGAGGCTCCCACCACCACCGCTACACTCGCCAGCCGTGAGCCAAGCTTCTGGCTGAGCAGCGCTCCCCCTGTGGGAGTGCACTGACCACCAGGGGGCTGCTCCTGCATTGAGTGTCTGCCCCCTGGTGGTCAGTGTGCATCATAGCGACCGGTCATTCTGCCATTCGGTCAATTTGCACATTAGCTTTTTATTATATAGAATTAGGTGGGCAGTACAGTAGTTAGATAACTTATATCATTTATAAAGTGATACCCCAATAAGTCTCATACTCACCTGACACTATACATAGTTATTACAAGATTACTGACTATATTACCCCCATGACTATTTTGTAACTACCAACTTGAACTTATTAATCCCTTTACTTTTTTCACCCAGGCCCCCAACTACCCTTTCACCTGGCAATCATCAGTTTGTGCTCTGTGTCTATGAGTTTGTTTCTGTTTTATTTGTTTCTTTTGGGTTTTAGATTCCACAGATAAGTGAAATCATATGGTATTTGTCTTTCTCTGTCTGACTTATTTCTCATAGCATTATACCCTCTCGGACTAGGTCAAGACTTTTTTTGTAAAGATACAGACTCTTTAACTCTAAAAAAATTTACAGATTAAAAAATCCAATTTTATAAATTTAAAGTAAAAATAGCTTAATTTTTACTAATTTTAATACTAATTAAAATACTATCTTAATATTCAAATATATAATGAGTTCCTTTTTCCTAAAATCAGACTTTAAGTATTTGAATATAAATATATAATATCTGAAGAAAATATATGAATTTTTCCAATTAGAAATAATATATACTTGATGAGTAATTGTTTTAAATAAAGTCATCTAATTTTAAAGCATCACCACAAATCTGGAATACAAATACTTATACTGCAGACCATAATATGGACAAGCTTTGTGTTTTTACACTGCTTTAACTGAAGTAAAAATATGCATACATTTTTTTTTTTGCTTAGGTCAACTATAAATCTATAGATTAAAACACATCTTTTAAGCAATGAAGGTTTTGATGAAAATGTGTATTTATAATAAAAAGGTAAGTGTAGGGGGGCTGTGTCCAAAAAACAGTACTTGAAGACGGTCAAACTACAAAGATAGTCTCATTAAGAGTGCTTCTTATTAAATATTTGCCTGCCCTAATTTCCCTTGGAGTCATTTACTTTTATATGACACTGGTAATATCATAGAGCCAACTCGCATTATCTACTTGTATGTATTAATAGAAAAATCTACAAGTATTTACAGACTCATAATTTCTTTTCTTTTTTAAAAATTTAATTCTTTATTGTTTAAAGTATTATATAAGTCTCCTTTTCCTCCCATTGACCTCTCCCTGGATGTCCCCTCCTCCCAGCACATGCCCTCACCTCTGCCTCTCCCCCCCACCGTTTATGCCCATTGGTTATGCTCATATGCATGCATATAGGTGGTTTCTTAATCATATCTGTGTCTAAAGAAAACTTCAAAGTAAAATTCTTAAAACCTATGGTTCCTTGTAGCAGTCCTTTAAGTTCTTACTTTTTTTTTGTTTTTTAAAGGATAAGATGCTTTATTTCTTCATGATGATATCTGAGTGATTCAGGTTTGGAAACACATCATACTTTGCTATGTTAGAATATGAAGCAGCTGCCAGTGTGACAGAAAAGACAAATTCAGCACACTGAAGCTAATAATGTAACTGCCTGTATAACTTGGACAGTTGGAACAATGATTTAGTTCATTTGATAAACTCATACTTTAACATGAAGAGGATATTAACAGTTATCCTATCTAATAATAGACAAACATGGTAATTAGCCATACCTCCACTACACTTCCCATTGGCTAATCAGGCGATATGCAAATTAACTGCCAACCAAGATGGTGGCCGGCAGCCAGGCAGCTTGAAGTGAACATGAGGCTTGCTTGCTCCAGTGACGGAGGAAGCCAATGTTCCTTGCCGGGCCTGCTGCTACTGGGCTCTGAGCTTGCACTCTAAGAAACAATGTTACAAATATAGAAGCTAAACAAAACCCCAGTAACCTGCTTTCAGCCATCCGGGCTTCAGCCAGCAGGACCACAACAGTGTTACAATTATAGAACGCAGATCCCTGCTTTCAGCCAGCCGGGATCTCAGAGCTGGAGTGAGCAGGACCGCAACAGTGTTACAATTATAGAACCCAAACAAACCAGATACCTGCTTTCAGCAGCCGAGGCCTCAGAGCTGGAGCCAAGCA